CCTGCGACACCTGCGGTAAGGCCTTCCGGGACGTCTATCACCTAAACCGTCACCGCCTCTCCCACTCGGACGAGAAGCCCTTCTCCTGCCCTATCTGCCAGCAGCGCTTCAAAAGGAAGGACCGCATGAGCCACCACGTGCGTTCGCACCAGGGTGGGGTGGAGAAGCCCTACATCTGCCCTCACTGCGGAAAGGCATTTTCCAGGTGACGCTGAGCTGCGGCCGCACGGCATGGCCACGCCTCCTCTCCTACTCTAATACGTCTCTCTTATGTTCCCCTATAGGCCTGACCATCTCAACAGTCACGTCAGACAGGTACACTCCTCAGAAAGACCTTTCAAATGTCCGGTATGTAGTTAATTTATTTTTTGGATTTATTTATACTGAACATTCGGCCAAGGAGTTGTAATCCTCACCATGCTTCATCTTCCTTTGCAGACTTGTGAGTCCTGTTTCGCCACCAAGGATCGCCTGCGAGCTCACATGATTCGCCACGAGGAGAAGGTGCCCTGCCACATCTGCGGGAAGCTCCTGTCTGCTGCTTACATCACCGATCATATGAGGGTGCACAACCAGTCGCAGCACCACGTCTGCCACCTCTGTAACCGAAGTGAGTTCACAAGTTTGGGTTGTTTTTTTTAACTGTTTGAGCAAGAGACTGAGAAAATTATCAAGCCATGTCATAGAAGGGAAAACCAGTGGATGGGAAAACTTTGCATTAAAAGTTTCAATAGAGAAGCCTAATTTGCAGTTTGCAAGGAAAGAAACCATCACCATTTTAAAACATGATGGTGGCAGTATGATGTTAAGGGAATGCTTCTCTTCAGGAACAGGAAAGTTGGTCAGTGTAGATTGGAAGATTTTTGGATCTAAATGCAAGAAAAATCCTTAAAAAAATAAATGTTGGGGGGTTGAAATAGAAAATGATACTATGATTATTTTCAACCTTCCAGCAGAACAAAAACCTGAAACATACAGCCAGAGCTTCTATAAATGACTGTTTATTATAGCCCAGTTTAGCCAGAACTTAACGCAACTAAAAACTGTGTGGCGTAGCTTTAATATTGATGTTTACAGATGATCTGTATCAAATATTTTGTGATTTTTTTTTTTTTTTTTTTTTATAAGATGCGATTGCTGATTTAATATTCTGGGTTTTTTTTATTGTTTAAAACATCAGAATATGACCATAACAGTAACTCTAAATCCTCCTTGGTTTTCAAAACTAAGCTGTAAGAATAATACTGGAAAACACTATAGAGAGGCAACAAATCCATTATTTCTTCAGTTAAAACTGTTGAAATTCATTGTATTAGACTATAGTATTTTAAAAATAAGGTTTAAAGCTCATAAGACACATTCCCAATAAACGTTCAAAACAGATGTAGAAAAAGAGAGCAAATATAATTAAAAAGAACTCAAATCTTTAAAAATCCCAAATTTGAACAAAAGCGATGGAGCACTGTGTTTCTGTGAAAGGAATTGAGTAAAAGTGGCAGATAACATAAGATTATTTTTCTTTCTGATTCCTTTCAATTGATTTTTATGTTAATTTGTGTTGTTTGAATACAGTAAATAAAATAAAGATAAAATAAATAGGATGGGGAACCTGAGACCTGCTGGAATGTATCTTTGAGCATCACTCTCTCCTGTCCTCCAGGCTTCACCACGCTGACGTACCTCCGCGTCCACGCCCAGAAGCACCACGGCCAGGAGTGGAAAGAGAGCCCCGGCGGCTTCGGCGGCACAGCTGCAGGCGGCGTTCTCGTCTGCCACCTCTGCGGCGTCCAGTGTAAGACGCCCACCCAGCTCCAGGGCCACATGGGCACCCACAGCACCAGCCAGGCCGCGCAGAACCCCGTCACCTCCAACGTGGTCGCCAGCAGCTCCGTCTCCCTCAGCAACATGGTGACGGCTGCTCCTACCGTGTACGTCACCGGGAACACGGTGGTGGACCTGCTGGTGACGGACTGCTCTAGCATTGCGGCGCCGCAGTCCCACAGTTAGCAGGATGATCTGATGGATGGATCTGCGAGTCTGAGGCAGTTGCTTGGAGATCCTGATTCGGTTTCTTTCTTCTTTAAAATGGCACTTAGGGGTTAGAGTTAAAATCTCAAAGGGAGAAAAACTGTTTAGGAAAATGTTTTTGCAGCTGAGCTGGAGATTTGAGACGTGATGAAAAAGAGGCTCTAGCAGGTTCACCACGCTAATGACAAACATGGATGTGCTGTCCAAATATTTCAGAATGAAGACTCTAGTCAAAGTGTGGTCATCCCTCCTCTCTCCCCTCTCTCTGTCTGACCTTCCCCACCTTTTTTTTTTTTTTTTCTGCACTCTACAACTGCACCAAGTACTGTAAATCTCACACCAGCTCTGATCTTACCTCCATTTTAGCAACTTGCGTACCGAGAATACTAAAAAAATCCAAACGGTTTGTGTCGACGTTTCAGGGGGAGGAAACGAGAAAATTAGAAGGAAAGTGGCGCGTTTGCGTGTGTGTGTAAGTTTGAGCTCCTCTTGCATGTTTGTTTAATTTCACAAGATGGAGATGAAAATTAGATTTTAATGCTAGCTAAATATCTTTTTACTGTGGAGTTGATCAGGAAATGAAATCCACCTGTTGGGGATGTTTGTGCTCATTGTTTCTTAAAGGTACCGAAATAAAGAAGAGTTGTTATTCAGGAGCATCAAGCACCTTAAAGCTGTCGTCGTCAGACTCGGTAAGGACGGAGGTTTAAGTGTTCTCGGATTATTTTGCTCTGAGTCTTCCTCTCTGGGTCTGGCCTTTACATTTAAAAAAACAACAAAAAAATACAAAACAACAAAAAAAAAACTGCTAATCAGCACTTCAGCTTCTGAACTACCTTTTTGCATGAAAACGAAATAAACCAAGCAAGCTCGGCCATGTTTATTGTTAGAGAACTGTTATGACAAGGATAAAAATTAGCAGTTCCACTAAGTTAGTTAGCTGTAGATGATGCTATTTATGAAAAAGTTGATTTTACTCTGGATTTTTTCACATAGATTGCCATTCATTTGATTGCAGCTGTCATCGCCATAGTCATTCACTTTATTTTTCATTTTCTCTGTGTTCCAGTCCTATGGGTGAACCTTTTTTTTTTATATAGATTTAGTCTTTTAACTCTGCATAGATCTCGTTTTTTGAGTCAGTGGTGTAATGAACAAGCGGTTGTCTGTTGTGAGTGACCCGTGGTGTAGAAAGGGCATAAAAAAGTCACTTTAAGTCAACAAAAAAAGACAATAAGTCGGTGATGAGTGCAGTTTCAGTTTTGTGTTCATTTCTTACCTTAAAATCTGTAGAGTTGTTTTTTTTTTTGTCTGTTTCTTCCTTTGGAAATGTGTTCCCTCTGTTGAGAAACATAGTGATTTATTGCAAATTAATTTTAGTTTTGTTTTTTTCATGACACTAAAAAAAAATAATGATGATACCTCTACTCTAGGCTTCTGTACAGCTCTTGTGATACATCTTCAATGCCTTATCGTACTCAACTGCATTTTAATTCTTTTATGACAAAATATTTCAAATCTTAGTCATGGATTCATTAAGAATATTAAGGGGATGTATTTATATTTATATTTTTATATTTCTCAACAGTATGCATGTCTAAAAAAAATGTTAGAGCAAAAAAAAAAATCAATGCTTACTACAGTCATTTCTTTTTTTTTTTTGTAGATCGAGTAGATATCATGTTATTTTATAATTTGGACAGTTTAAAGTAAAAATATTAAACAAGAACTGCTGTATGGGCTGTTTTCATTTTCCTCGTATTGTTATTAATACCTGATTTTAAGTACATCAAAAGAAAACCTCACCAGGGAATGAGTGATGCATTACAAAAGTGGAATATATTTAGATGAATCTATGTAAATTAAGGAAAGTGAACATTAAACTTTTGTGGGACAAAAACAGCATACCGAAATGTTTTGCAGCCATGATGTGTTTAGATAAAACTTTCCTATGAATTTAACTTTCTATTATGTGTAATCCATTCCTTCCTGATTCCAGGGATGAAGCTATAGGGAAATTTAAAGCAGGATCGGGTTGGAATAATGATATCCTGAGGTTTATATGTCTCAAACAGCTCAGTTTAGTTGATTTCAAAATGGAAATAAAACGCAAATGCAGATATAGTTGTCCACTTGAATTGAGCCTCACCCACAGACGGCCACTCTGGGTCTCTGAGCAACACCCTTAACCCCACACTGCTCCTCTGGTGCCGCACAATGGCAGCCCACCGCTCACCAAGGGGATGGGTTAAATGCAGAGTTTAATTTCTCCATTTTCTGACATGCTTAAACCCAAGTGGGGTTGCAAGGGGTGCTGTCTATGGGCGAGAGGTGGGGTACACCCTGGACAGGCCGCCAATCCATTGCAGGGCAACACAGAGACAAACAGGACAAACAATGCACACACTCACACCTAAGGAGAATTTAGAGAAGGCAATTAACCTAACAGTCATGTTTTTGGATGGTGGGAGGAAGCTAGAGGACCCGAGGGGGGGAACATGCAAACTCCATGCAGAAAGACCCTGGGGCTGGGAATCGAACCCACAATCTTCTTGCTGCAAGGCAGCTGTGCTACCCACTGAGCAGCCAATGTGAGATCAATAAAGTTCAATTATTATTATTATTATATAGAACAGTTAAAGAGGCCATTATGAGGTGGTTCTTGGTAACTTTGGAGGAGCTGCAGAGGCCTGCAGCTCATGTGAAACTGTTCAAAGAACTATTCTGCAAATGTATATTTGCTGTTTTTAAATGTTAATAACAGGATTATAGTATCCCAAATATAATGCCTGATTAAATCCTCTGCAAACAGGTGTAGGATATTTTTCAAAGCAAAAGTAGAAGATTAAAGCAGTAACATACAGAATTCGTTCTATATTGTGTATCTCTATAAAACGGATTTAAAATATGCAGAGATGTGATTTATGCACGTTTCTCTGCTGGGAAGTGGCTGGCGCAGCGTTGTTGAGTCAACGCTGCATCTGAGAGGCTGAGGCAGCGGCAGCATCATCTCTGATGTGGCGAGACAGAGGAGGGATGACATAGCGACAGCATCCGTTAACCATAACCCTGCATCTTCCAACTGAAGTCTGTTGCATTTGATTCCTTTAGACAACCTGATCCCGCCGGGTTCGCATGCTGGTTGCCAACAGGCACGAGCGAGCTAACCTCGCGGAGATTTTCCATCCAACTTGCTGCTGCTAGCTCGCCGCCCCTCCGTCTCCAAACCCTCCTAACATTCAGCGACCACATCAAAAAAACATGCGGAGCATCGAGGCCGAGACCCCAGGGATATCTTTAAACGCTTCCCGTAGGACACGACCTTCGGCTGGACGCTGACTGGACTCTGCGGAGCCGCTGTGTAATTGTTTCATATTTATTCAGAACATGCTCAAACTCTTGGGTTAAGCTAAGGTTAGCCGTTATTGGCTTAACTGCGGCAGCTGTGTGCTACATACAAACAAGGAAACAACATTTAAACGCAAGAATGTTGCTTATATAAAATAGCCGCAAATATTGAAAGGAGTGAATTTGTTTTCAGGGTGAAAAAAAAAGTGTTCACATTAATTTGTTCAAAGCAACCTTAGCTAACCGCTAGCTAACCGCTAATGCCCGTAGCATCGTCATTGTTAGCAGGTGATTCAACAGCTCAGGCAGTCGGTCTTTTTAATAAAAACGACAAAACTCGCTTGAATTTGAAGCAAACTGCTCATGCTAAATTTTAGTTACCATCTACTTTTACTAACAGTAAAATCACGCTGTTATTTGTTTAAATACTTTGAATGATGACTTGTTCATATCCTCGCGCGTGTTAGCATCACTAGCTGGTCAATTAGCTAGAAATAAGAACACAATGCGTAGTTAAGTAAGTGTAACTCCATGTCAGTTATTGTCTTTGTTCTGTCTTATATGTCTGTTTAATTTAGGAGATTTTTACTAAAATCAAAATATTTTATCATAGCTGATAACGTTGGACTGACATTTACGTGTGAGCGTTTTTGTTTTGTAACGAAGCTTCACTTCTCAGACAGGCAGCACTGCCTGATGTTTTTCCTTTAGGAATAACAAGTACTAGCTGTCCCATACTATGTCAATATTTTCGACAGCTTAAAAAAGGCGCATTGCGCATTTTTGCTAAGGGAATTGTACTTGTTTTTCTAATGAGCCAATGAGTGCAGAGCATGCAAACTTTAAAACCCACATATTTGTAATTTAAATAGGAATCTAGTAATACTCTATCTATAGGTTGGATGATGCAGGTGGATCCAGAATGTAATATTAAATATATGTCACTGAGGCCTACCTCTAAGCTCAGACTAATGGTATCTGACTTGTTTTAAGTTGTTTAATCTTAAAGGTACATCTCATTGTGTAGGTTTGGGGTAATATTAATAACATATGGGGGGAAAAAATGGATGCATTCAAAGTATTAAAGTAATCCATACCTGCTGGAATACTTGCATACATCGACACTATTACCTTGTTAGAAGCCTCTTGGCATTTGCAGCTCGCCTGCATGCATTTTGTAGACATCAGCACCTTTTGGACATAATTCTGAGAGGATATTTTGCAAAACGACAGACAATGCTGATGCATTCATTTTGAAAATACTCATTATTTAGACTTTGTCTGTCAGTTTCTTCTCCAGTAGGTGTTTGGGTCTTCCATTCATTTTTTTTTTTCCCGGTTTCTGGGTTGTTTCCCATCTTTCTTGTCTACTACATTTTTATCTAATAAGATAGTTTGTGCAGATAGAAGCTAAAATAGATGTTCTGTTTAGGTTTATTGTTCTGTATGTGTTTGTTTTTTCTTTAACATGATCCAAGTTTCGATAAACCTCCAGCTCCATTGTCTGATTTTAAATTACATTATAAAGTCTTGCAACTCATAGTTATGGACTACGTTTTTCCTGATATTTTAGGTTTAATAATGTGTTTTTGCAGTGCCCAGAGTCAACTATAGTAAGCTCCAATATTTGAACCTAAAGAGCAAATAATGTACTTTTCAACCTGTATTAGTTAGGGTTTGGATTATTTTTTCTCTTAATTAGTTGTTCTTGTTTTTCTGACAAACTTGGCAGCGTGACTAGGGATGCTTTACAACTTCCCTGGTCAGGTTTCGGTGTGAGTTGATGCTAACCTCAAACTCTGCAGAGATTTATTTATTTTTGTTATGAAAGATTTCCTTAAGAAAATATGCTCAGAGCCATTTGTTGCTCCATCAGGTATTTACTGTAATATTAGCTTCCCGTTATGTGTTAAGGCTAATGTTTTCCCAAGCAGGTTATCTAATCAGGACAAAATTTGAAAATGGGCATATAGACAGAGAGGATAATTCTTGGCAGAGAGCATTATCAGTGTGCTTTTGTTTTTTATTCTCCAGATACAGATTATTCATATTGTAAAAACACTGTACAGTGCCGTACTCAATTTCTTTTATTTTCCTATCTGTTTTTTTTAAATACTTTTCTAAGGTGCACATTGTGTGACCACTTCTACTATAACCTTTTGCTGCTGGAAACACCACAATTTCCTCATTGTGGGACTATAAAGGGATTTTCTATTTGGATTGTGCTTGATCTAGATCACTGTGTTACTTCGACACGGCTGGAGCCAGTGAAGTATCTTCATTTACAAACACATGTATGATGTGGCAGGGTGTGACCCTGGAGACGAATAAAATGCTTCTTTAACTGTTATTCAGGGCTGCAGACGTCCGGACGAAGCAAGCCCGATGGTAAAGCACTACCACTGTATAACCTGAACAATTTCTTTGTTCTGAATAAGATTGAAATTTATTTTAAATCTGTTGTCATGTTTATATAGTAATTTAATACATAAACATAAAGTGTTTGTTCCGAGTTATCTCCGTTTAGGAAGGAATAGGAGATATTAAGCTTAAAGATGTAAACCCAGAGCTTTCCTTTGCAACGTACAGTCAATGCACAGCTACATATGTTGGACAGTGATAGCATGTTCTATTTTCTTATCTCTGTAAGCGCAGCCTATGGGTACACGGGAGTTTTCTAGTGCGATCAGTGTTATTGCTCATTCTCTTTGCTTTGCTTTGTCTTTTTTCAGAGAGGACAGAGAGCGACAGATCTCAAGGACCAGATTTTCTGCTGAACTTCTTGCCTCCTAAGACAGATCGTCAGGGACCATGCTGACCATCTTGGCTGCTGGCTCTGTGTTCTTTCCAGGCCTTTTCCTTCTGTCCAAACAATGCCTGAAGTCCATTCCGGCTCTGAGATGGAGCGAAGGGGATGCGGTCATTGTATCAGCCAGGTCAGAATTACTCAAGACCTTTTGACTTGTTGTTCCTGAATATACAGTATTTGTTTCGATAACACTTAAATTATCTGACACTTTTTTTTAAAAATAATTTTATTTACATTCCCTTGCTCTGGTTTTGAATATTTTATCAAATAGATAATAAAGTAGTCCTAACCTTATATTTTACATCCACAATCCTTCTTATATTGCTTCAAATTCATGTTTAATAATTTTTAGGAAAAAGGATAATTTTTGTGTTGTACATTAGCAACATTAGCGGTTTAGCATGGTTTGTTTACCACTGTTTGCTGATCTACTACACAGAAGGTTAAAAAGTAACATGAGCAGCAAAACTTAAGGACGGCCACCAGATGAGTTCCTAGAGTTCCTAGAGTTCCTAATTGTTCGAATCAAACCTTTTTGTCAAACAGATATAAACATTTGAATTTAATGAGAGGGTACCAAAATCACACCATGTTAAGAGTGCCCCCTTGTGGGCTTTGCTGGTTTGAACAAAGAGCCTTTAAAAAGAAATAAAACAAGCCCCTTTCACTTTCCAGACTGTTTAAATGGTTTAACTGATGCCCAACACCAACACAGAAGTTTTAACATGGGGGGGGGGGGTCTGTTTTCTGAGTGATGACGTCTTATAATAGAGTAGTCTCTCTGTGTGAACTTTTAATCTCCGTGAAAGTACAGCTGTTCTCTGAAGGCGTCAGGGGATTGTTTAAGTACATCCATATAATGAAGACAGAGGACCATGCAACACAGGTGAAGGAGAAAATTAATCAAAAGAACCTCCGACAGGGCTACAATAACTGGTAGAGCAGCAGGAATCCGAAGCTTAGGTTGGAAAATCTGTCGACAGGACAGTGGTACACTCAGCAAATCTGATATTTATAGAAGAGGAAAAAGGAGAAAGAAAGCCATACAATTAGTTTTTATTTTATTTTTTTATTTGGCTCATGTCTCTTTGGTAAACAAAATAAGGTTTGGTGACAGAAGAACGAGATCGAAATGAAACTTGATGCGGTACATAATTTTGAACTCACCATCTTAATTGTGCTGCAGAACTTCCCAGTAGTCTTATCAAACAGCTGTGTATTGTAATTTAAAAGGAATAGGAAAGGCTCTCATCTATTATTTAGTAGCTATTTCAACAAGGTGATTTAATGGGATGAGAACTATTCCACTGGGTGCGGTTTTGTTCTCTGGATGTCATTGAACTGATGCTGATCTGCTTTTTGAAAAAAGTTTCATTCTCAGAAATAGGTGATTACCCTCTCATTTAAAATTTAAATAAGGAAATTGTGTGAAATGTTGACTTTTTAAAATTTTAATTCATAAAATCACAAATTTATTATCATTGCAATCTTCCTATATATATATATATATATATATATATATA